GGGGGGGGGGGGGGGGGAGCGCAGTAGTCAGCGGCAGTGTGTTGGCCGAAAAAAATACAGGGCGTGAAAATCACACGAGTCGCACATGCGTACGCGGGGGCTCTTCGTGCAATACGCGCGCTCGAGGGGGGGAAGGTATCGCGTGATTAGGGCGTTATTCTCCTGCGCGGTTGGCGGCCAGGGCATGGGCAGGGGACTGCGTCAAAGCGCGTTCTTTCCTGTGAACCAAAAAAGTACAACAATCGGCAGTTTACAACTTGAAAATAGGCGACCATTTCGTCACAGACCAGTACGTGAAAAGACAAGAACACAATTCGCAAAACTCAAGAGACGTCGAGGAGAAGCGAGTCAGCGCACACACACGGAAAGGCAGGCAGGCAGGCAGGCAGGCAGGCAGGCGACTCAGGCGCTCCATCCTATGTATCATAGCACGCACCGAACGCGATGGTGGCGACGATGACCGGTACATCCCCCCTCATCCACGCCTGCTGGACACGGCTGCGCTCCCTTTCCTGCGAGGCAACGGGCATGGCGGCACGTTCCGCCGGGATACGAGAGGTTGCGGGGGGAAGTGAGGGAGGAGGGAGGGGGAGAACGAACACCGTACTTGGGCGGTGAGTCTTTTGGTTTGCGGCACCAAGACCTGGCCAAGAGCTTCTTTCGAAGGGAAATCGAAGCTTCTCCCCGCCCCGCCGCGGCCGCTCGTAAAAGAAAGGACACAGCGATTGTACCCATGAATCGCCATAGCTTTCCACAGGCCAGACCTGATCTATACAGTAGCTTCGTCAGGAAACCTGGAACTTGAAAATTAGGGAATGTATGCTGGCAGCTTTCAAAGGACATGCCAATTCAGGCCGGGAGTCGGGGCGACCTTTGATGCTGTGTGTTCCGCGGCGGTCTGTTGAAGCCCCTCCGTGCCAGGGAGGGACTACGACACCGAGCGCCCTGGTCCGTGTTCTGTACCACCTTCTCGGGACACCAACACCGCGGATTCGATTCCGCACACCTACAGGTCAATGATCCGTAGCAAACCTACACCGCATACTCCATACACCTCAACCCCATGGTCCGCACACCATTACTTCGTGCCGCAGCACAGCACACAGACACCAGACGGGAGGCAGGAAAGGTAGGGCAACAACGCGTCGTAGCATCCACCAGCGTACGAACGCACACACGCCAGGGGACGAACCGCACGCACACACTCACCTCCTGCCCGGCGTGGTAGAACGCCGCCGGGACTCCCCGAGCCGCCAGGCCGGCCGCCACGTCCGACGCCTCCTTCCTCGAGAAGGCGTACACGATGCCCGCCTGCCCCCGGTAGCTGTCCTTGATCAGCGACGCCAGCAGCTCCAGGGACTCCTGAGCGGCCTCCGGCTTCTCCACCACCTCGTACCTGAGAAAAAAAAAAGACGGATAGATCAGCACCATCGGCGGGTGCACGCGGGAGGAGGGGTGCGTGGTGACTATGGATGATACGGGGAGCACACGCGCGCGGAGGGG